GCCATCATCAATTGGCAATTGCATCGTTTCCCGTTTCCAATTGCACGATAATTGATCGATTACATTGGAGAAGTTGTGCATTTCTCCGCGTGTTATGCAACCAAACATACAGCAGAGTAATCTGCAGGTTACGTTAGATTTGTTACAGTGTTCAAACGCAAACACACTTTGATTAAACTTTGGTTTAAATAGTTATTAGTATACATAACGCATAAATAGAGTTGTGTAAGATGCGTACTTACAGTTTGAACACCCGCTGCTTGGTTTTATGTTGTTTTCTTGGTGAAAATCACTTCTTTCGTCGAACTGCACTAACACTGCACAAAATCACGCTGTGTCATGTTTGTTGTTGCTTCGGGTGAGTTCGTGTGTGTACGACGTGATTCAAGGTCAATATTACCAGTAACATAGTGTGAAGATTTGAATTTTAGTTTCAACGAAAAAATCACTACACTGATGAAATAAAACCAAAAAAACAATGCTTTAACTATCAATTTATCACCGTAATTTGACTTTATTGCTTCTCAAATCAAGATTTAACTTTATCCGCACAACAAAAACAAGTCAATAGACCCTTGTTAAATATTTACCAGCGATAATGTGCCGTTCCGTGATTTATACGCGCCGCGATAAATCGATGCAAACCACACTAACCCATCGATACATTCCCAACGTAAAAAACAGAAAATAACACAATACAACAAACCACCTACAACCCTCACAAAAAGTGTACACTTAACATCTGTTTGGTAAACACGTTTTTGAGTGTTTCATTGCGAAATGGATGGGCCCCGATGCGATTGTAAAAACGGCAGCAGTGGGCTGTTTTTCGGCTCGAACAAGCATCGCGCGAATTCAACGAGCAGTCGAGCGCGGCATCGCATCTGCGCGTCTCACAATGGACGTGCGACAAAACGCAAAAAGGACGACGCGTCTGAGCGAGCATCAACGAATCCAACGAATGTTACGTTCGCGCATCGGTGGCAATAACGGCCCGCATGGCCGACAAGGCCAACAAAAAATTAAATCAAAATGTGTGTAACATAACCTTGCAAAAACAGCTAATAACCTGTTATTTATACAGTTTTTATTTAACCATTTTAACAAATGAGTTTTATATTTATACAAGACTTTGTTAGCAATTAGTCGCCTATTATTTTTTCATCCGCTATGATGAAGTTTTAAGGTAGAAAATTCAAGTGAATTATCCTTGTAATTTAATGTAATTTACAAGTGAATTATGAGCGACTTTTTAAAACTTCCTCGGAACACTCAGGAGTTATTCACCGTGGAATAAATTATAATCTCAAGCAGAATGTTTAAAGTATCTTATTTTTTAGAGGAAAGGCAATATTTTAACTTGTATGCAACCAAATTACCTTGTTTTTAATGTATGGTAAAAATGTGTATGTTGTGTTGCATATTCCTAGGCGCATAATTATCCAATGCAACTATTTTTTGCTAAATTCTTATTTTAAAGTATATGCAACCCACGTAACTTGTTTGTTTGTGTAATGTACAAATGTGTATGTTGTGTTGCATATTCCTAGGCGCATAATTATCCAATGCAACTATTTTCTACAAAATTCTTTAATATTTTTGTGGTATAGGTTTGCAACTCAAGTAACATGTTTGTTTATGTATAGTGTAAATGTGTATATTGTGTTGCATATTCCTAGGCGTATAATATAGTTATTGTTATTACATTATAATAAATTATATTCGAGTCTTGTGAGTATACGTATCGTATGTACACGAGTAGAATATGCAACATGAGTTGGCCTGGAACATATTGAGTGAAATTGTGAAACAATTCCATGCACTGCAAACGACAAAGCAAAGGGCCGTAACGTACAGTAACGTTCCGCATTGTTCCGCTCGTAATTTTAACATTTACATAACCCGCTTAGAGTGAACCGAGAGCCAAGCATCGGAGCTTAATGGCGTCGGGATCGCCGAACAACGACATCGTCGCATCGAAAACACGCATAAATTTATCCGTGCAAATTTATAGAGAAAACCAACGCGGATAGAGTAAACGCGAAAGATATTTGTGTTATAGGCAACCGATGATACAAAAATAATGGGAATGGAAAAGAAAAAATAATTAAATACAAACATAACTGTTTTGACATTGATTTTGTTGTGTTTTTACAGAAATATTTGTAAAAATGGTGTTTTGGGTCGGGATTTAAATAATTTTATCTTATTTTTGTCAAAAATGTTAAATGTAGTGCGAATATTTGCTTTTGAGCGCCATCTGCGTTAATATTTCAGAACTATTTCTGTGTTTAATCATTTTCACACTTTAACTCTCAATTTAAAAATTTTCAGGCATTATTTATGCAATAAGAAGTAGCCTATGTTATTTCCCAGAGTCTAATCTACCTTTCCACCGAAAATTATTAAAATTACTTAAGAAGTTTAGCAGTGAAACATGTGCAAACATAAACTTTTTTATTTTTACATTTACACGTATAAAACCATATGGTTCACCGGCACCTTCACCTAAAATTGCAATACGCATAAATTTGCCGCGTGAATACTTCCGTTGACTGTCGAATTTAATTTGGAATTAACACCAAGACGACGCCGATGCCGATACTGAACTCCACGCTGCTTCTACCTAACAGCTTCCAACCTTCTCTCATCTCCTACCTATTCTTCTCACATCTCACATCGCTCACTATGCTCAGGTTAGCAGCATGTACTCGTACCTACCTACCCATCTGCTCCAATGTATTCACACACTCGTTACTCGCATCCCCGGCACGTAAACTTTGCTTCTGGTGTTGGAGTCGTTAATGAATTATTTATTATCCGATTATTTTTCTCATACATATTTTAAACAAATAAACATGACCTAAATTAGTTATTTAGTTATTTAATTTGTATAGGGTTTTAAAATAGGTATTTATATCGCAATTTATTGTTTACGCTGTAAAGTTGCATTATTTTGCATCAATTTTACACTGATTAGTAAAGTAATATATTATTACAAAAATTGTTTGTTTAATTGAGGTGAGATTGCATTTTAGTAAATTTTATTCTGTTTTTTTTTGTAAATTTTGCAGTTTTTTCTTAAAAAAATTCAATAACCTAGCCTTTCACACAAACTGCTTGTTTTCTAGTTCCATACCTTCACCTATCCTAAGTTTAATTAAATAAATATATAATTTTAATGTTTTTCGGCCATAATAGTTATTTTACTAACGATTTCTTCATTGATTTTGCTTGAATTCTTTCTTCAATCTTACTTTTAGTACAAATGGATGTTTTTACAATAATCATATTTAATTACTATTATTTTCCACAAACGACATTTTTCCTAATTGAAATGTGCTCTAATTATATCCATACGATTCAAAAATCCTTTGTTTTCAAAGGGATAAAAACACAAAAAGAACAAGTAAACCCAGCAATGCCATTCGTTTCGAAATCCAACTCAATTCTCAATGCAATGCAAAAGAAGTCACAGAAGTCGCAATCCGCGCAGTAGATGAAACAAAGGACGAGAAAACAAGGGAATAAGAAGCTGATCAACGTCACGAGCGAAAACAAATGAAAAACGTACAAACAATGAACCAGACTTGAATCATTCTATTCTTATATTCTTACAGCTCAACATGGCTGCTCCATTCGTTTCCTTGCCGATTCGAATAATCAAATGTATTCAAAATCTCAAAAAATCAAAAACACAAATTTAATTACTATATGAAAATATAAAAATAGCTTTTGTCCGCGATTTTGTCCTGGTAGTGTTTAATAAAAATGTAATTTGTTTTTACTCTCTTGTTCTAGACATGGTATGTGTCAATTCTATCAATAAGATTCGCAATTTTATTTTAAAGAAATTAATTATATAAAGAATTGCTTATAATGCACTTCAGCGCGACATCTCGGATTCAACTATTTAACTATAACTATGATTGAATCTCAATGTCAACTTTTATCCTATAGAAAAGGGTTGTCATTAGGGTTTTCCCAGCAATTATTTGAATTATTCACGCCGTATAAACCATCCTTGGACTTTAACAAACAATTTAAAAAAAGAATTGGCCAAATTGGTCCAGACGTTGTTGAGTTATGCGCTTACCAACAGATTTTGCAATTCGGTTTATAATACATAAATACTAATAATTTATTTACTTTTATGTTGACTGCTGCGTTGATTAAATAATTAAAAAATATACATTACACACCCTTTGATGTTGTACTTTTTGAAGCTTTTTTACAAATCCCACTTGGTTTGTGTCCAGTGTTGCTAAAAGAGCGCTAAAAACTCAGACGCGACTCTTGCTGAAGAGAATTCCGAATGAGTGGTAACCGCTGCTGCATTTCGCTGCCGACCAACTTGTTTATCAAATTGCACGGCGTGAATTAACGCTCATTTAAATGTTGTCCCTTTGAGGTAAAGCCTTTGAGGCAAAGTGCCGCTTAGCAATTTGCTGCATCAACAGCATCGGTTTAGTTTTTGTATAATTTTTCTTGATAACTTACATAGTCTCTGAGAAAACTAAAAGAGATTTAAATAATATAAAGTTTTACAACTTTTAAAGCACAACTGCAGTTGAAATACTTCAGTTTTGAATATTGTAGTTACATAAATTCAATGCTCAATTATTTTTAACTAATTATATGTATTTCTGTAGGTTATGTAACGTTATAACCTAATTTTAAGCAAAAATTGTTAATTTTTAAATTAATTATAATTTTAATACGAAAAAAAAAACAAGAATAACTTGTAAAACCGCCATTATTGGTTGTAAAAATACTATTTAGAGCAAACAACTCAACAATGACGTCACTTCTTCAATAAACTCAAATTTTTGGTTTTCTTAACAAAAAATCTAATTTCTGGTTGCAAAATGCAAGAAATAAGCAAGAACATATTTTTATAGTTCAAGATTCTTATCTAAAATTTAACAAATCATAAACTTTTATCACTCTGAAGCAAATTAAAACGCCCACAAAAAAAAGCGAATTAACAGCGCGCCTCGAACCTAGGACAAGCATTTTATTTTTAGCACATTCTTTACAATTTCTAATTTCCTCCTGCTTTTACAACCCACTTCATTCCTCCGTGCACCAAACGCAAACTTTACATTGATGACTTTACGATTTTTTCCTCAAATATACCTTGACTTTGATGGCTTTGACGCAGCGTTGACACGTCAATGTCACGTAGGTTGGATAAGTGCATTGCTTAGTTTACTACTCCATAAACGTACAAAACTAATTCTACTTCAAAAATAGAGAACGTTTAATTCTCACTCACCAAAGGAATAGAACAACATTTATATACTAAGTGTATTAAGTATACAAATACTAAGAATATTAAACTCAACTCAATCAGAATAATACATTTTGCATAATCTTTGCTCGTTGGTTGTTATTATGACAGCAATTAGGCATGTGGGCCGCTTAGATTAATTGGGCTCACACGTAGTGGCACTTAATAAGCGGCTTGATGTATGACAGTAACCGGAAGAGCTGCGCCGCCACGTAGAAGTTCCAGGTCTGCTTTCACCCTTTCGACCTGGAGCCGTCAATGCGCGCTACATCAGCCAAATGGAGCTTTGTGTATAATTATGTTGCCACACGGCGCAACTCTGAGTAGAAACTGGAATTTTGCATTCAACACAGAAGATACAAGATCAGTGTTTATGTTTACGTCCAGGGAAGTGTTTTAACCTAAAAACATTCAAGAATTAAACAGAGTTTACGTTAAAATATAAATGGAAACAAACTTTGCACTCTTGCGCCATCTATTTATGTATTAAAACCAAGAAAATACCGAAGATGATTTGAAATCATCAGCTGTCAACCGACATAACCTTAAAAATTACATTTATACTCACCACTTCTATTTTTATTTGTTTTTTGAAAGTTTTTAGTCTTCTAGAAGCTTTTCAGCCCTAAAAACAAATAAGAACTGATTAATTTATTAAAATCTTTAGTTATAACAACGTAACACACTAAATAATCTTCATTTTTGTAAATTCAAACATTTTTACTTACATTTTGCAAGTTGGCAGCACTATAGGCAACCCTAACCACACATTCCTTTCACTTCTGTTCCACACAACAGAAATAAAACACCCGCTTGCCGTGTGTAGTTGCATGAATGGTGAATGTTGATTACGTCGCTGGTTGTCGGTTGCCTGGTGGTGACGTTCGAGTCCTGTGACTGTCGGCCCCGTTGTTGCCATAAATCACCTCGGCTTATTCGCCATTACGCGCAATCCGTTTATGTCAGACGTGCGCGCTGCTCCGATGCCATTAGCGAACGCGTCGTCCACGCGACGACAAGGTATGCGCCCGCCATCTTGTCGAAGTGCATGCGTGTGCGACGCATACGAGATTATGTCAGCCGAAATTTCGTCGCGGAATCGCGCGGCGCGTCTCCTGCGTCGCCTGCCACGAGCGTCTTGCACATTCGGAGGATCTTTGTTTCAACGCTGCGTTATGTACAAGGTAGGCTAGAGTATTACTAAAACTACACGTTACAACACTGATTTAATTTTGAATCTACACTTGACACGTTTAGGAATATATTGTATATTTTAAGGTTATGTGTGAAGTTAATTTAGTTGATGATGTGACAACGTTGCATATGTGAAACATAACCTAATTTTACTAAACGGATATAAATTAAACCAGAAAAATACAAAAAAACAAAGAAAAATAAATAAATGTAATTTATGACTGGCTGCGATGACCAATCAGTGATGGCGGTTTATTATTAATGTCACGATGTTGCTGCCGGAGGCGGCAAAGACCTAAACGGCAAACGCCCACGTATCTTGCGATGAGACGAGAACTCACATTCGCCAATGTTCGCTTTATGCTTCGTTTTATGTGCTTGAACTCGCCTAGCACATCGCGCTTGATAGCCGCAGATAAATTTTCTTTCTAGACATCCCACATCTAGTGGGAATCTGATATCGCGCTCATGCAAGATTCGATGATCATTACATTACAAGCACTCAAGTTTCACATGAAATATTGAAAAGTGCTTAAAGCATATCAGGAATAATATGCTATTAGCATTTTTGAGTATATTTGGTTGCATATATTATAATTGAAATGGTAAATAAGAGTATAAATGCAAATGTAAGGATATTCGTATGTTTGTTACGCTTTAAAGGATAAACCGCTGAAGCAATTTTGATAAATTTTTGTATGAAGATATTTTCGATTAGGGAAAAGAATGTAGACTAATTTTTGTTGCAAAAATATAATTAGAAGAGTGTTAAATTAGGGTTGAAAGTTGAAATGGTGATTAAAGCACAGTAATTTGACTCTAGTTGGCGCTGATCTGTATTTGTAGCATTTCTCATTCACACAAATTAAAAAAAGCAATTTTTTGACAAAACAAGTTCAACAGATAAAAATTAACCTGGCCGAAACCAAAAGAGTTATAAACTATTAATATTTGATAATTAACTTATGCACCACATGAGTACTAAAATAATATAAAATATAATATTAATTAAATCATTTAATTTAGTCATAATGTATAATTTATGAATGAAATAATGGAAATTTATTTATAAATTTGGTTGCATACGTTCTGCGTGATAAAGAACGGCTGAATGAAATTATTTGTGGAGCATATAATTAAATTATACACTTATTCATAATATTATGATTTTGATGATTTGCAGAGTTTTGTGGATTATTCGACTGTACTCTTATGTATGAGTACTACTGAGTTGCATATAAATTGCAGTAGCGGTGTGGATGCACAATTTGTTTGCTGAAAAAGTTTAGCATAAAACCAGATTGGTTTGTTAATGGATTTTCGGCCGATGTCGACATTTCAATTTGGCATCCATCCGGCTGTAAATTAAATTCCTATTTGGCTATTCTCCATATCGTCACTCTCGATGAATTTTGCAATATATTATTTTTATTCAACAAAAAGTAATACAATAACTGGTGATAGTAGGATATTCGGGTATTAAGGTTATAAATTCTATACTTTCGTGGCTTTTTTGGAAACAGTGTTAACAACATTCAAAATTTTATTTTAAATATTTTATAGAATTTTTTCCATTTCCATTCATTAAAACGTTGAGTTTTCATGGTTTCCAAACACAAAAAGTGGTACTTTAAGTACGGACGGCCAAAGCCGTGATTAAAGTATTTTAGTCCTGAAGTTTTAGTCACGGGACCCGGAGCTTGCGTTTAGTGAGCAATACGTAACTT